ATCCTCCTGTCTCTGCCAGACTTTGGGAGTGGATGTGCGTGCTGGGTCAGGTGGAAAAAGCCGTGCACAATTTTATCATCAGTGTCTGAATAACACTGTGGTCTGTGTTACCTCACAACTGCGATGGTGACCACAACATTTCCATTTAAGGAGGGGGGGGGAAGACAACACCTTCAAAAATTTGTCAAGCAAGAGTCTGTAATGAGAATAAGTGGTGGTGTTCTATATTGTTATTTCAGGGGTTTTTTTGTGTTACGGACATCATCCCATCGCATATTAATCTGGAGTAATCAATAAACATAGAGCTGTGTGAAACACAACATGTAACACAGTTAAGGAGTAGGTTTGGAGTAGGTTTTCTTATTCTCTCAGGTCTTGATGCTATAACATCATTGTGGAGATGAGCTGTATCTCACTTGTAAAAAAGGGCAAAAGACCCTCAGGGAAAAAAAACCCATGAAACTTGCTGAGGCAATCTAGGTTAACTGGATGGCTTAACCTCTAGATAGAAACTGGCAGATGCTGTGTTACAGAACACTTTATTTTCCACTGCACCATGACATTTGAAAGTAGAAAGACTTTAAGACACTTGGATTAACTCAAGATCATCACTGGAGCTCCACTTCATTCTCTGAATTGTTGCTCAGGAGGCTGATGTAGTCTCTTTATGTCTTCATTACCTCAGAAATATTGTTGCTTAGGCTCAGTCTGATGTCGGAACCAGGAGTTAAATTCAAAGTATTTTAAAGCAGTAAGAGCTGTTTGGAGTAGCTTATGCCTTTTCCTCAGTTGTTTCTTAGCATGTGATTAGCATCTAATTTCAGTGATGAGTCAAATCCAGACAACATAGTTTTTTTTCCTGCTGCCCCATTAAGTCAGTGGCTCTAAGCTGCTTATCAGCTGCACTTGATAAGTATTGTGCTCTGGACCAAAGGATCTTTATTTGAAAAGATCAGTATTTAGAAGAATTTGAGTAATATTCTGTTAAAATGTTACTATCAGCATTAGCTACAATTACACACTGTGCTTTATCATGATACAAAATTACAATTTTCATGCTGCATTAAGAGTATTTATACCCATCGAATCTTGGGAGCTAAGAATTTTAGAGTGGCTAGAACTTGGAGACTGGCCATCCTGGGCTAAATTTGCACCTACTGAGAAGCTGAGATCTAATACTTGAAAAATATTAGATTGCAGAAGTAGAAGGAAAGACAACATTCAAACACACTAATATAGTACAACCAAGCATGAATAAAACACCGACAGGAGTAAAACAGCCAGTTGCTGAGGATTTTCAATTTCTTCTGTCAATTTTTTGTTGTAACATTTTTTAAGATTTAAAAACTACATTCCCAGTAATCCCTTTTATCAAAGCCAGAATACAGGATTCTAGCAGATTGGGTTTTGGCCATTCCTTCAATTTTAGTGAGAGTTTGAGGTTTTGCTTCCTGATTTTATTGCTTTGGATTTTGTCCATTTGCAGTCTAATAATTACTGGAAATTGAAATACCACAGCAAGCTAACGTACCCTCACTGAGCTGAGAGGATTCTGAAATGCTGAGGTAGAAGAATGTAAAAATGTCAACTTGCTGCAATTACAAGCAGCTGTGATAAGAGTCAGATATAATGACTTGTTCACCTTCAAGGGTAAAATTGGCAAGTATATAATTTAGTCTTTAACCCTGGTAAAAAGTGCTTATGGAAGGCTTATTTAGAAGTCTATTTTTTCTAACAAAGGGTAATAGAGTATTCTCTCTCAGAGTGCTCATGTTTTTTCATGTGGAAAAAGCTAGTGTTCACACTACTCTGGATTAACAGACATGTCCTGTGTAAAACACAGTGTTGAGAAGAATGCTATATAGGTTATGGTTAGTACTCCAGATAACAGCAGGAGTTCCAGGAAGAGCAACAGGGATGATCATGTCTACAGTGTTAGGTAGAAGGTGTAAAGACAAGACTTTGAGTAGCCTGGCAAAGGAAAAGGGAAGATGTAGCAATGTTTTGATATCTTACATTCTCTCTTAGGAATAAACTTCCAAATCTAAGGATCGGTGGTCATTGGAGTGGATTGTGTGGAGAGCCTCTGTCTTCAGAAGGGTTTAGTACAGCTCCAGCGGTTCTCAGGAATGGATGGAGTACAGCTGTCCTTGCCTTGGGCCTAGAGGACAGACTGTATAATCTCTGTGTCCCTTCAGATGCTGCTATCAGTTATTTTAGTGCATATGTCCCAGCCTGAATCACCCTGCCATAGCCATGGGCATTGTTTTGCAGATTTTCCTACTGACACAATATGAGACTAGCTAGTCCCAGCTATTTTTCACTCACATTTGCTTGAAATACTTGCTTTTCCTCAAGTAGCCATTGATAGCCTCTCCAGAACAAAGATTACACAGTCTCCTTTGTGGTCCAAAATTGATCTATGCATCTGCACAAAATCCAACCTTAGTCCTGTGAACAGAGTAAGCTTGTAAGCCCGTTCTTCAAATAATCACTGTTTCTGTGGTGCCTGTATCTGCAGAGCATTTAAAATGCTTATTCCTGGAAACACTCATATTCTTTTCCAGGGTAGTGGTTGTGCTGTAAGATGGCTTACAGGACAGACGACCCTAAACAAGAATTACACTTCTTCAAGATGGTAATGCCTCCTTGTACACAAGCATTTTTTAGAGTGAAGCTTGGACACAGTGAATACTCTGTATATTTAATGGTTTATGGCAAGTAATTGTAAGTGCTTTGTCAATGACACTAAAGAACTACTCCAAACTGAAAGAACAACCAACAACTACAAAAAAAAAAAGAAAATCCAAACCTGAAAGTCCTACTTATGGCTGTAAACACCAGTCCTGTTGCTCTATAGCTTTACTTTAACTGCTTGTTTCTGTCATGCATAGCCACAGTACTGAATTTTTTGCTCTAACTTCTTGTCTACACCTCTATACATTTTAATTAGCTAGTTTTGCATATAAATACATTAGTTTATCTGAGGCTGCTGCTTATTTTGCATCTCCTCAGAATGATTAAGATCTACTGGCAGACTTGCTGTAGTTTTTAAATTTCAAAGCTCCAGGATTAGTGTTTTAGCCTTGGAACTTACTGTCTTCAGAATTCTGTCAGGGATATGAGAATTTGAAGCTTCAAAGCACAATATGATTCCCTCTTTCTTCTGTAAGTCCTTATCTGATTTTCTTTCTTTGTCTCATTTTTAGGAGATGTTTGCATTTTTTTTCAATTTGGCTTACCTTTTTCTGTCCATAGACATTGCTGCTATAATAGTGCCAATAGGTACTTTTAAAGACAAGGTAAGCAGATTAGCACAACATTTTTGTTGACACACCAATGTCCCCGTAATACACTGTGTATTTACCAAATAATTGTCTTGGTGTGTATCAGAAAGGCCAAAATTACAGTACAGACTAATCCTGCACTTTAGCTGTGGCATACATTAAATTTTCTATGAAACCTAAAAGAGATTCTGCCTGAAGGAAGTTTTCTGCATAATCAACAAACGAATGAGTGGAGAAGAATAAACTCTCCTTGAGGATCTTTCTTTGGGGTAAAAAGAGAGGCAGTTTGTGGTGCAACATTAACAGAAAAGAGCAAAACATATCTGCTTCTATGAAGAAACAACCTGCTTTGATGTGTTCATTTTTCTCAGTATACCAGCGTGCATTTTCTTCACTATATAAAATAACTTGAGTCTTCTTAGTGCTCATACTGCACAGACTAAAAGCGCTGCTTTTCAGGCTTTTGGGTAGCAACATCTGGTAGCCTAAAGAAAATGTTTCACTTCATCCCTATCTTAACCCAAATCCACACAAATCTTAAAGTTCAAGCTTGAGCTAACTTGCCTGGCAGAAATAGATTGTTCGACTCTAAAGCTACAAACAGTGTAGAGATTAGTTATATACCAATTACACAGCTTATCAACTGCTAATCCAGTTAGTCTGCATGGCTTCACTGTTGCGTGGCACTCTTGGTTCTTTCAGGCTCAAGGTAGGCAGTAATTCACGTGCACTGATAGAGCTAACACTTACGGGAAAGACAAGCTCTAAAAATTCTCCTAGAGGAGGATGAGTAAATCACTAAAGAGTAATTTAGATGCTGCGATCACTGGTGCAGGCAGTATGTAATCACATTTTATTGATGACTCCTAAAGATCCGTTTTCCTCTGAAGCTGCCTAGGGTGAGACTGAATAGAGCGTATCTGGAGGGTCTGATGTCACATACGGTGCCAAGACCTGATCTGTCACCAAATGAGCTGCTTTGGGTAAAGGAAGCATTATGAGCCTTTTAGCATAGTGCTGTGCTCTGGCCTGCAAGTGCAAGGCAGGAAAACACCCAAGGTTTTAGTTCTGAGGGAAAGTGGTGGGATGAAAGGGACGGGGAGGATTGGCTTAGTACTGTGATGCGCCAGCAGTGTGGCAATGCGAGGCTGCTGACTGCAGTGAATTTACACCACATCTGTAGAGACAACTGTTTGTAGAGAGCGTGGCTGTTTGCTTGCACAAAGCCATGACTCTCAGAACTCCTAAGAACTTCAGGTAGTATGTTTTTTGGAGGAGAACGGCAAAGGCTATGTAAATGATCTTATAATCAAAAACTTGGTAATATAGTTTCTGTATAAATAAATATTAGACCTTAAACATTTTTTGAAATTCGTGTTTGATCACTGCAATAGTCTCATCAATTCATTTTGCTATGTTTCCTTGGACACAGGTTTGGGAAGCCATGTTTCATCTCAGAGTATGTTATCCCAGCTTCATAAACACCTGAATATAATACTGGACAAACACTGACAGGAATCTTAAATTCAGGCTGCTACTGGGTACAACCAACAACCCAGAAAGCAATTCCACTCATCACAGTAAATGAGATCTCAAATACACTTGGCTAGAATGAAAATAAATTCTTTAAATGCATTAAAACATAAAGTGAATTATTAGATGTGTGGCTTGTGTATTGGTCTCAGTGATAATTTTATATTCTCTTTCTTGCAGGAGGTGAAGTCACCAAGCCCAGATTTGCTCAGTATTTCCATGGCAGCTTGGCTAGTCTTACTATCCGGCCAGGCAAAATTGAGAGTCAGAAAGTGATTTCCTGCTTGCAGGCCTGCAAAGAAGGTCTAGATATTAATTCTCTTGAGAGTCTTGGCCAAGGAATAAAGGTGAGAGATGAACTGACATAATCTTTGATAAAAATTTACAGCTGATTTATGAAGTGGAGAGCCCAAGATAGAGTACACAAAGCATGAATGTACTCCCAGAAGCAATGTAATTTCCCATAAAGTCATGCAAAGAAAAGCGGAACGGAAGAGCTGTGACACTGCAAAGAAAAATGTTTCTGTTATTGCAAAGCTAGATGCTCAGGAAGTAAAGCACTGCTGATATTTCAGAGTCCATATGAATTTCCCGGTCATGTTCTCATGCTTATTTTCATAGTTTTACAGAAGTAGACATGATTCCAAAAACTTATTGAACTTTGATCTCAAGTAGCTTTAAAGCAATGGAAAACATAAGTGGAATGTCATCTAGAGGCAACTCTGAAGGAAGTCCCAGTGCGACAGTACTGAAGAATTAAAAGTGTGTTCCAAGATGAAAATGTTATGGGACATGAAAATTGGACAATAAAAAAACCTGAACTCAAGAAAAAATTAGATTTACATACAAATAATTATCCATCTTAATTATGCAAACTACTGTCTTTACTGAGATAGTAACACTTTTTCTAAGACTGGAGAACAGCAGACAGAGGAAAATCCTGTTTTGGTTGACAGAGTAGCTAGATTGCTTTGCATTTATTAACAGAGAATCATAGACTGCTTTGGGTTGGAAAGGACCTTAATGATCATCTAGTCCAAACCCCCTGCTGTGGGCAGGGACACTCCCACTGTGAGGTTGCTCAAAGCATATATTAAATAATTTAAAGCATAATTTAATTCATTTTATATTTATTAATTAATAATTAATAAACCCCACTTTGAGGTTGCTCAAAGCATAAATTCTTGCTCTTTTGGATACACGTGTAGGATCTTGACTGTAAACTGCGTAATGTTTCTATGAGCTGCATGGTCAGTGTCTCTTTACTGGTACCACTGCTGGACAACAGGGGCTCTTCTGCCTAGCACAGAAATCCCAATACCATCTTCCCAAGGAGCTGAGCTGTGAATTCAAACTGGGAAGATGCTTTGGCTGCAGACTGTGCATCCTGTGAAACTGCACAGGTGGATATTTAGTGTGGTGTTTTCCAGTGGGGAGGAGAATGGTGTTGATCTAGAGTGTGCAGTGGAAGTGCCACGTGCTACATTTTACCAGCTAAACCTTAAACCTAAAGATAGGAGACTGACCTGAAACACAATCAAATGTCTGTCTAGGTGATAAGTTGGAGAGGTGTAGTATAACTGATATATTCTCTGAAAACAAGGGTAAAAATGAAAGTTGTAAGTGCAAAAGTAAGGAGAAATTTTACCTAGCTCTAGCTTTTACATATGAGCAAAACACCACACTTTTTTTTCTTTATCCTCAAGGACATCATTAAGAATTTCACATTGTTGCTTCTCCCAGCAATTTGACATGCCTATGAGTAAAAGCTGTTTTTAAAAGACATTGCATACAAAGAGCAGGTAGGGTTTTCTGGAACACAAGTGTATGTGCCTACCAGTAAGTTCTTCGCTGGGATTTTACGTGAATTAAAGCAATGTGCATTTGGTCCATGGTACTTAAAAGCATAGTAATTCCTCCCTGTTGTCACATTCTGAAACTTGACAATATTTGAGTTGTCTTATTTCATGGGCTTGGTAAAAAATCCCTGTTATACCAACTGCTCCAGCATGGATGATCGGCTTCCTTACTGTACTAGCAGTGCAGTGGGGAAAATGAAAATGCGGGATTGTTTTCTGCCTTTTGTTTCTTTCTTTCACAAAACTTCAAAATATCTTCATTTTCTGAAATAGAGATGAGGCATAGTGGTTTTTTTTAAAGTTACTGTTTTCATTTTTACTTCAACAGCGCAACAGCAGGAGGCAGAGATGAAAGGAGCAGTCAGAGATTGTGGTAGAGTTTCTTATTGGGGCTGACAGAAAGGAGGTTGGATGAAAGTGGAATGGTTGGCACTTGACCTTGAACAGGAGATTAATAAAGAGAAAGGGTTTCTGGTGTCAAAAATAAACATACCTGATCTTAGACAAGCGTGTGTGACAGCTGCACAGATGATAGGTTCTGTATGGCTGTTCACCTGGCGCTTTACAGATGCAGTGTTGGCAAACTGATGTTGGGAGGTGCTTCTGCTGGGTGCTTCAGACTCATGAAGCTTCCCCCTTTTGCTACCTAAGAGCGAGCAGTGCAGCTGTAATACAGTCTATGACACACTAGCATTAAACATTTTTTAGTCTGCAGCCTGATTTTCATGTATCTGTAACAGTTCTCAGAAACTGTCTAATCTGCCACTATTTTTAGCCTTTTTTAATGAGAAAGACAAAAATGGCTCAGACAAGGGCTTTCTCCAGTCCCTTTGGCAGCACTCCAGGTGTTCTGGCAGCCGAGCTATTATGTTAACAAGCTAGCGAGAGTCTCCTTTGGCTAATTTTATTCACTACTACTGCTAGCTTACAGAAAGAAAAAAGAAGTGTATGCAGGCTGTGACTCATATTAGCCCTCCTCTTTGTTAAGAAATACCCTTCAGTGTGTTATGACCTTCCTGCACAAGCTTTAAGCCCAATCCTACATGTTCCATTCAACAGAGAACGCTGTGCTTCATCCTGTTCTTCACAATCTGTTTGCTCTTTTGCTTTTTGACCTTTCTCATTGTAAGGAACTGGAGACAACTATTGTTGATGTATAATAGAACATGTTCATAGGATCAGTAGACAGCTTTGGGAAGTGACTGTATATCAGAGGAGGGTTCGTATCTTTGTGTTTTGCTGACAACGGTAGGTTACAAAATCAAGGGGGTTAATCTAGTTTTCATTGCAATGCAAATGGGTTGGTGAACCAATTAACAGACAAAAAGATGGAATCAGGATGAATTACAATGAAGATAAAACCAACCATTTGCTATGCGGTTATAGTAGCAAAGTTTCTTGGTCAGCAAGACTGTTTCATGTTCAGTGCAATGGACCAGAGACACATCAGGGCTCCAGGAATAGCCATTGACTTTGCAAGGTTTGTTGGCTGAAATGAGCAGCTGGCTTGGTGCAGGCAGGTCGTTCTTAAACCAGGACACCCTTATCCATCATGAGACAGAGACAGGAGAATCCCCTTTATTCTCTCTGACGGTAATGAAGATGTAGGAGGGAAATGTTATAATTGTTTTGTTCATTCATGTTGAAATACATCTCAGAAAGATAGCTCAGAGGAAAACCAAACAGAAAGCAGGAAAAATATGCTTCTGCATGCTACTCTCATTTAAGCTAGTATTTTTATATGAGGGAATGTGTTTAACCTAAAAGAATTACATAGTAATAATAACTACAGTGAGTTAAGGTTTTGAACTCTACAGCTGCAGAAATAATATTAGCAGAATTGAAAAGGCTGAGGAAAGTACGGCAAATCAGGATTAGTTTACTATAAAATTAATTATAGCAGTAATTATTCAGATATGAAGTAGATGACTGACCTGAGTACATGTTTTAGGGAACAACCTGTGGATTCTGCCCACAAGAGCTGCTTTTATTTTTTTTTAAATCATTAGATTTTAAACTTGCATCTGTGCAACATTCCTTTAAAATGTCTTATTTTGCACTCTGTACCTGGTACCCTAAATACTAATTCCCTGCATTTCCCCTAGTATCACTTCAACCCTTCCCAGTCAGTCCTTGTCGTGGAAGGAGATGACATTGAAAATATAAATCAAGCTCTCCGAAAGGTGTCATACATCAACTCTAGACAGTTTCCTACTGCAGGTGTACGACGTCTGAAAGTCTCATCAAAAGTCCAGTAAGTTATATGTCAGCTGAGCTGATTAGATTATGAATATTTTTCATTAATTTATTTTTTCTTTGGGCATGTAAGAAGAAAAATTCTGTCTAAATTACATTGATAATGCATACTTTTACGTTATTGAGCATAAATTATTAATTGCATGTACTTTAATGCTGATTTAGATTGTGGTTTTCTTTTGATATTGTCCTTTTAAGAAACTTTTCCTGTTGATGTCATTTACTTGCATTCTGTTTATAGGTTGGAGTATACAGTCTGGACTGAACAGTACTTCTGTTTGTTGCTTTCTTGTTTTACTGTTAGTTTTAAGAAGTTATATTTTTTCCTGAGATAGCTAAAGCCATGACTTTTTAATGCAGGCCTATTACATCTAACAGATGACGTATCTGCAAGACCAATATTTGTAGCTATGCTTGAAATAGTCTTTATCTGCCTGTATCCTTATATGGCTGCCATCACTGGTGTGGGGTGTTAAACAGAAATCCGTGTCCTTCCCTTTTCATGTGGCAGATCCTGCACAGAAATGTTTGCAGTTCTACATAATCAAAAAGCCATCTGCCACTCCTGAGTGCCCCAGGAGCAGGGCTGTGTTACAGCAAGTTGTGCAGGGCAGGGAGAGCAGATCTTTAGAGCAAAGATAAATATCAGTTCTACAAACTCTCATCTAGTGCACACACAGGTCTTACTAAGCACCTGGCTGTGGGCTGACCACACTGTGTTTGGAGAGCAGCACCTGATGTAGTCCCACTGGAAGCAGTCCAGCTTTTGCACACTCCAAGACTGGCCCAAGATTTGTGCCATGATGAAGTACAGTAGAGTTTGTCAGGAGATTCACTTCCATCTTCAGATGAAAATGCTAATATAGACCCCTTTTGTCCCCATTTTGTGCCAGAATGGGTTCATGATGGGTCCAGTTTAAATGGATAATTAGGCTCTTTTATCCACACATGACAAGACAAGCATATTATGCTCATTAGATACCTCTTTGAGAATTTAATGTTAGGTTTGCTAAAGTTAGTTGTTATCATCTAATTAACTTTATTTTTTTTAACCATGACTTTGTTAAATGTCAGTCAAACATCAATATAATCATTCTCGTTAGTGACCTTATTAAATAGTGACCTCTTCATTAATCTGTTTGCTAAGATGTTCCTACATAATTGCAATAGTTGTGAACGTGGGAGGGAATGAGAGGAACAGAGCTGTTACTCTCACTGCTGGTAGGTACATGGTGGTACAGATGCATGTCCTTATGTGTGGCAGTGTCAAAGCACGGAATAGACTGATTTGAGACAATGCAGAAGGATGGGAGCCATCAGGTGGGTTTTGGGCACTATAAGTGCCACACACCTCTAATGTGCAACATGCTATATGCAATTAATGAATAATATATTTTTCAGATGTTTTGGTGAAGATGTCTGCATTAGTATCCCAGATGTAGATGCATATGTAATGGTGTTTCAGGCCAATGAGCCCAAGATTACAATAAGTGGGATGAACCACTTTGCTAGACCAGATACAGAATTTGAAAGCGAAAGAGGTGTTACTTTGTTACCTGACATCAGGATTGTCAGCACAGTCACTAAAACGGAGCATCCAGTGGACGTAAAAGAACATGACAGAGGTTTGTGGGTTTCTTTTCAATATTATTATGTACTCTGTGACGTGATCCCTCACACTTTTTTAAAAGATAATGCAAACAAGTCACTTCCCCAGGATTCATTTAGGCAATGGTAGGCAGTTGTAATGTTGTACGTTCAATTAAACACATTGAAAACTGTGTTAAATAGTGATAGATCAGTATGTGCTCCAAAAAAAGCAGCTTTTCCATTTAGTGTCTTGCCTGCTTCAGAATCATTCCTTTCCTCTCTTCACATACCCTTGTCATTTGAATATATTTGTAATGGAATCTTATTAATTATACTGATAAAGTGGAAAGCAGTAATTGAGAGTTGGAGTTTTGGTCTGTTCTTATGGTTCCAGCTCTGCTACTGACTTGTGAGTGATACATAGGAAAGTTATCTTGTGTCTCAGTTTCTCAGCTATATAAAGTACATATAATAGTTTGCAAACATTTTTTTTCAATGATGACAGTTTATTCTAATGCTGAGCAATGTGTGTATTATTGTTTGACACTAGGTGAGTGTTCAAAAATATACATAAGGTTTAAAATATTTGTCTATAAAGGAATCTTCCACTTGGATGCTTGTGTGAAAGGCAAATGGAAAGCCTAGTAATCTGAGGAATCATTCTGAACAATATTTGCTGGACTAGTATAAGTAGCAACTAGATGTACCTCTCTTTAAAAGATGAAGACGATAATGAATGACGTGTAGGGGCATGGATTCCCTGAAGCCATGCTCTTTAACAAGGCTGCCTATCACTTGCCTGAAACTGTATGTGTCCTCTGAAGGCTGGCAAGTGCATCGTATCGTCATATCAAAGGCATGCAGTTACAGTATGTAAAAAAATGAACTCTTGCATAGAAAAGAGTGATCATTATCCATCACACAATGCATGCATGACGCTCATGTCCTTAAATGTTACATCTTCAAAACTGTTCAGTGAATAAGGAACTACTGCCCTCCAGTGTAGTTCATAGATTTCATCTATCCCAATTTTTCCTAATATTGACATAATTACTATTGTAGCACCTTATAACCTAAAAAGCCTGAGTCTCACCTTGAAAAGGAACCTAGCAGCATTTCTTAAACTGTTGTTTAATCCCTTGAAAGCCAGGCATGTCCTCATGTGACGTCTCCTGTTTATTTCCAGTAAGCGTCGTTAAAATTGACAGATAAAAATTACCTTTGGGAATAATTGTGTCTTGCAAAAGATTATTGAATTCTAAGTCTCAATTCTTGCATTATAAGCTTGAATCATTATTTCTCTCAGCCAGATATTATCTGTCAAAGACAAAGACAGCTGTAAATCTTGACCTATACCTGCCTACGGCTATTTTTCCACTTATTGAGAATTTACTTAATGTGATCATCGTGACTGTAGCAAAGATGCACATGGCATTTAGTCACCCTGTATTCCCCAGCCACGGGACCAGTCAGGTCTGTCTCAGCAGCAGGAGATCAGGTAGCACAGGCAGCAACATGACCATGGTTCATTTACCTGCAGAGGGGCCCCAGAATGCCAATGTGTTGCTGCTGGCCCTGCCTCAGTGAAGGACTTTGTGGAACCCCACCAACAGCTCAGATTGCTGCCCCCACCTCTCCTGTTTGCCCACTGACCACCAGAGTAGCACAGCTGACCAGTCCAGGCTTTTCCCATGCTCTGCAGCCAGGCTCTTGCCTGTCTCTCTTTGCTTCCCATGAAATAGTCCAACCCATCAGCCTTAGCAATATTCAGATTTGCCTGTCCTGCAAATTTGAGTTGGGTCTCCATTTTTTGATAAGTTAGAACTGTATCTGGAGTTCAGATACCCAAATTCACTGTACTAGCAGTTGAGAATCTAGGGCATAAGAGCTTTCTGTCTGTGCCTTGCTGCCCCACACACCTTCCAAGATGAAATTCCCCAAATGGACACCAAGAACCAAGTTTGCAGTCTCCGTGTCTACAGTAGCCTCAAGGATCTGGTCTTGCCAGATGCTCTGTGCTAAGTTGACCATAGAATTAAAATACTAAATTGATATACTACTCTTTTTTCCAGCAACAGAATTTTTTTAATCGTACATATTGAAGGATAGTCAGTTTACAACTCAATTTTGCCAAGTCTCAAAACACAGAGCCTTGCCACTTATGTTAATACCGTGTTCTTGGATAGACAGCACCATGTTCTTTGTAATGCAAATTCTTTATGAGTAACTGAGAGAATCGTAGATGAGTCTGACATGTATTCTTCCTGTTCAGTTTTTCTTGAGAAAAGAATGAATGTGTGATACCAATGTGTGGTATCAGTATGGAACTCAAAAACAGAATCGTTTACATGAATTTATTTACAGGATCAAATTTCAGTTTTCTACTTCCAGTACTATCCTTGAATGCCTTTTATTACAGAGCAATATGTTTTTATCTATCTCACCAGGTATTTGTAGGCCTTCACCATCATAGCACCTGAACAGGCAAGACACTTCTCTGTTGATTTGCTTCAAGTATGCTGCATTTAATATCAGCAAAAAACAATTCAGCCTTCTTTGCAAAAATTGAAAGCCCTGATGCAAATCACAGAAAATTACTGAGCTGTTCTATGATCATTTGTCTTAGTTTCTGTCTTCTTCTTTTCATGGTATATGCCATGCGTTCACAGCCAATAAACCAGTGATATTAGAGGAAATGCTCCACAACTTGGATTTCTGTGATATTTTGGTCATTGGCGTAGAATTAGACCCTGAACAAGAGTGTTTAGAACTAGATCCTGTGGAGCTTCAAGGAAAACGTCTAGATGCCACAAATTCCACAACGGGATATTCAGTCTATGGTATGTTCAAGGACTTTGCTTTCTTCCCATCTGCAATTACGTTGTTACAATGAAAGGACTGACTTGAACGAAATGAGACAGAAATCTGTGGTGTACAAGCTGTGGAATATTCCAGGATAGACTATGTCTCAAAAAGCATAGTCACTTCTTGACCTCTGGGTGTGCTGTGTTCCTTTGGAATACGGCACAGCTTTGTCTTGGTTTCACCATCCCTCCTGCCGCTCCCCAAATAAGGAAAATAGCAACTCTGCTTTCTTTAAATGTAGGAGTTCTTGTGGGATATGAGAGTGAGGGGATTTGTCAGTGTTCCTGCACAGTGCTGATAACTCATTGGCTTTTTTTAACTATTACTATATAATTGATTCTAACTCTTTGCTGATGTATTTGTTCCTCTCCATTATGGACTTACATTCATTTCCAAAACACTATTCTAACACAATTCAGTATCAGCCAGAGGCCCTATCAAGGGATATTTGGTGCACTGCCATTTTCAGATAATTCTGCCAAATTTTGTATTTTCTGTGAACATTTGAATTCTCCTGTAGTGCACAGAGCATCTGTCGCACAGCATCTCCTCGAGACAATCACTACTCTACCCCCATTTCAGGTGTGGACAGCATGCACAACTATGAGCAGGTTCTTCGGCAAATTCGATATCGTAACTGGTTCACTTCTGCCACCTTTGACAGGAAGTTCAGAGTCAAGTGCTCAGAGCTAAATGGACGTTACACTAGCAATGAATTTAACTTGGAGGTAAGCAATCATTTATCAAGTTCTCTTTTCCAGCACTGAGGCTGAGCACTGGCCTTACCTTCAGCAACATTGAGTTTTCTTTAAAATATGTATAATTTTTGACATGTTCTAGTAACTGTAATCAAATAGAGGAAAAATTCTGAGTTCCATGCAAATAGGAAGTTGACTGGCGTTCTTCAATGTGTGTCTCTATTCTGCTGCATATGATGATGAGATGATCCTTCTTTTGAACTCAACTAACACAGAGAATTACTTATTTTTTTACAGAATGGAGGCTAAGGTCATCACAATTGTTTTTCTATGACATAAAATCTCCTACAGGTCTCTTTGAAGATTTATACACCTGCTCGACAGTAAATCATTACAGCCTCATTCTTTTCCTTAGTTTTTTTATATATATCTTAATCTGACATACTTTTATTTCCTGCAGAAATTCACCTTTTCAGGTTTTCCAAGCACTACCCCATTACATTAAGTTTTATGATTTGTTCTTCATCAGATGGAGATCATTCCCAGTAATTTACATGATTTCAGATTTCATTGAGGAGGAAAGTCAGTATACAGGTAATGAATGCATAGGATGGACCTCTTAATCTGTCATATTCTCTTGGATTCACTACCCAGACATGGTCAGTTACCACAGGAATATTTAGATAGCTCTCTTGAGCTTATGTGTGCTGGTACTAAGCCCGGTGCAGCACAATGGCTCAGGGACTGAGCATTGCTGATAGAATTAGAGAATCATTAAGGTTGGAAAAGACCTCTAAGATCATCAAGTTCAGCCGTCAACCCAGCACCACCATGCCCACTAAACCATGTCCTGAAGTGCCACATCTCCCCATCTTTTAAATACTTCCAGGGATGGTGACTCCACCACTTCCTGGGCGGCTCATTCCAATGTTTGACTGCTCTTTCAGTAAAGAAATTTTTCCTAATATAATCTAAACCCAATCTAAACCTCCCCTGGTGCAACTTGAGGCCATTTCTTCTGGTCCTATTGCTTGTTACTTGGGAGACCAACACCCACCTCACCTACAACCTACTTTGTTGTAGGTTGTAGAGAGCAATAAGGTCTCCCCTCAGCCTCTGCTTCTCCAGACTAAACAACCGCAGTTCCCTCAGCTGCTCCTCTTAAGACTTGTTCTCCATGCCCCTCAGCAGAAATCGTAGACCTGTTCTGAGCAACCAACTTATCCAGCCCAGAACCCAGATACCAAGTAACTACAGGAAAGGGCAGGACCTTCCTTCCTAGCAATAAGACTTAATAATTTGTTCTGAAAGGTTTTATGTGTTTATGCTGTATTGAAAATTCATTTCACCTGAGCATTCTGAAGCCCTGATAATGACTTCAGGGTTTTTGCTTATAGCATAACTATTGGTAGGACAGAGACCTGGTATAGTATAAAGTCACTCAAAGTAGGAACACAGGAAAAACTGAAACCTCTTTTAATTCTCGCTTACTGTTTTGGTTTTAAACTCAATGAGTTCAATACACTTTGTCAATATTCAGAGTGACAAATCTCCCACTAACTTTCAGGGAACATCTAAAAACTGATTAGTATAGAGAAAAGAAAGTCACTACTTATTCAGAGAAGTAAATTTTAAAAATCTGTTTCTGTGCCACTTCGTAGTCTACAGCTAGAAAAGTTAGAATGCATTTTTAATGTTAGAAATGAGAAGTACATTAACCTGTGTGTTTTTCACTGCCATAAAACCAGTGTATCTGGCCTTCAAGGTACGTACAATAATGCTTCTATCTGCTGATGAACTCCATAGTTCAACATAATGTATGGAGCCAGCAGGTTTGGAATATAGAACACCTTTTAGTATGTGATCTCTTATTTTTCTCTTGTGTCAGATTAATATTCTACACAGCTCCAACTCCAATTCCATGGACCATGTAAATCATATGATAGTACAGCCACCATTTCTCCAATCTGTCCACCACCCAGAGGGAAGCGTAAGCACTGTTCGCAACTCAGGTATGTGATGACTTTACAGAGACTTTTCAAAATTATGGTAGATCAGTATTTCCCTTGTGGTTAACCAATAAAGTCCAGAGTTACAGCTTGTGAAACCTCACAGAGAGCATTGCATAGGTGTGAATGAAGGTAACACTGAATTCTGTTCTTTCTTTTCAAGGAAGTACTTTGTAATTAAAAGCTACTGTCCTTTTTTAAAGTATTCAGTAAAGGTTATGTACTCTGACCCACACAGTTAAGAAACTGTCTTGTTTATAGTATTGAATAGTATGAAGTATAGTACTTATGCTCATATTGTCTTTGTACGTCTGTATTTCTCTGAAATATCAATTTCTGTCCACCCCTTTCTAAGCCAAAGGAATAAATGTTTGTATTATTGTTTTAGATCTGTAATTGCTGCAGTGATTCTGTTAGCTGCTGTCCAGACCTCAGTCTGGAACAAAGATAAGTCCATCTAGCCATGTGCAGGGGGCATTACTTTATGTTCAATACAGAATTTAAATTTAATTTTTAGACTATAGGAGTTAAAATATATACCCAAATCTGAAGCCTTTTCAGTGAAGTTAAGCCCAGGGCAAGGATAACTCTTTAAATGCTGGATTCTGAAATCCTTTTAGCTGAATGATACACATATAAAGAATTAAAGATGATGTAAAGTGTAGGTAGTTACAAGTAGTTATATTCAGTTGTGCTTAGAAAATTACTGTATTTTTCTGTATACTTGTACAAACATTTTACCAAAATGAAACTGAATTTTTACAGGATTAGCTATTTCAAACTAGTTCTTTCTTTTTTCCTTTAATATTGTTCTGATTTCACAGTTCCATTTTACAGGCAGTGCAAGGCAATCAAATGGGGTAAAGCTCCTGGAACTGCAGTACCCAGGTAGCAAAGGTACATAGAAAGTGGCAGCATTTCTCCACTAACCTAATTATCTGATAATATAAGAATAGTTCAAAGAAGTTTCTTCCTGTGACTGGGTGGAAGGACTTCTCAAAGTGCAACAGAACAGTGAGGAAACATGTCCTGAATCCTCAAGGTTGTAACACAGGCAAATAGAACAGCAATGTGTTATTTTATTTCTTGGAGACTGAGATTTAGATCACAGTACAAGTGTTTGAAACCTTCAAAAATATAAGGTTTGAGATATATTTTTTCTCACAAGTGAGGCTGATGCCTCAGCTGTAATCAGAAGGGGACAACATGGAGGTAAGACACTACCTGAACCTTATTGTAAAAACGCTTGTTCTGAAACTAATTGATTCTGCACTGATTGACTTTGTGTCTTCAGTAATAAAGTGGGTTAAAGAACAAATGGTAGGCTTACTCACTTTTTAGTTGGTTATGATTCGTAATACTCATTATAAGATATCTGTAAATGCCATTCGTGTATGCTCTGCCCTAGTAGGTGAGCACTTGTCAACACTTTCTGTAGTCCCAGGCAGATGGCTGTGCTAATTCTCAATTCAAATGAAGAGGTGCTGAAGGGAAAAAAATAGACAAGGTATTTAGTGTTGTAGGCAGTTTTTTCCACAAATATAAGACCATTTCCTTTTCCACTTTTTGTTCTAGTTGTTCCAAGTGTGGCTACTATCGTTATCATAATCTGTGTGAGCATACTCATTTTAATCATAACCTTGGGGGTCTATCGAATTCGGACAGCTCATCAGCACAGCTCTGCAGACCACGAAGGAAGTAAAGAACATGAAATGGATTGGGATGATTCTGCTCTGACTATTACCGTCAACCCCATGGAGGTACATAACTGAGGCATATTGTTATACCATGATAATACCAGAAGTTACTGTCTGGCCTGGTAGCTTACTCAGCAGTGAGTTTTAAGTCTCTTTCAGAGTACACTTGTTTAGGCTTGGCAGTACAGGTGCACGTGCATACATTCAGGAGCCCATCTCTGTTTGCAGCTCCACACACCATGAGAATACATAATTGAGCACTTAATATTTGTTGTCATATATATTTACTCCGTAGGATGGTGAAGAATTCTCAGGCATAAAACCACTTCCTGACCATCCATATTTGTACTCTTAAGTACTAAAGATAATACAGTTACTTTGTTTTTAACTTTTTAATGTAAGTACTAATACACTAAAAGAAGGGGAAATGATCAGCAGTTTAAAGCAAGTGACACAGCAGGGTTAAAGTTTGGTAGCTTGACTAATAAAGATATTATTTATTGAAATTCCATCCTTGATGCAGTTGGTTTTGAATATTTGCTACTGAATTGTATCATAGTTGGTGCCTAGTAGTCACATAATGATGGAAAGCAGATTGTCCCAGCATGTTAACATTTCTAAATGTGGGATAAATGCTCACATTCTCACAGCCACTGGCTAGCAAGAAGGCACTTTTCTTCTACTGTCTCTCTCTCATTTCTTTATATGAACTGTAGAAATACAAAAAGCCTCACCAAGCAGAAGAGGAAAGTGAGGAGGAAGACATAGAAGATGAAGAGGACGACACAACTAGTGCTGAATCAGATGAAAGTGAAGAGGAGGAGGAGGAAGAGGAACTGATTGTCCAAAAGGGAGACAAACAGAATGCCACCAGGCAAGAGCAGTTGGAGTGGGATGATTCAACACTCCCATACTAACAGCCCTCCAGCCACATTGCTCTTTTGTAACAACCAATACAATGTTTTTTCAAAGTCTGTGAGTTCATTGACAGGATTGGAACTTCTGCTTGCCTGTAACTGTTTTGCCTAAAATGATCTTCTTGTAGAAATTGGTAAGGCTAGAACTGACCCTTTTCTTACAAAGCCTAGAGGAAACATGGTACAAACATACTGGCATTGCCAGTAATAAAGTAATCTAGAACTTGATCTGGTAGCAAGCGTAGTTCTCTATTTCCTGTTTCTGTACCTTAGATATGTGACAAAAGTCCTGTCACTCAATCCATAGAGGCTTTTGCCTTTGCTATGTCTTTTGTACAGGAGAGATTTCAGCTTGTTATGAAGAAGAATTACTTGTGTGGGTCCAAATAGGAGTTGCTATTTGACTTCACACTCTTACAGGTGTAAAATGTAATCCACCTTCAAATTGGGGCAGAGTTTTAGTGCTACAGGTGACAGAGACTGAATTCCATTTGTCATCTCATCCTGCCTTCTTGGATGATAACTGTCGCCTACAGAGGGATATCTAGGACTCAACACAGGATGCATGTGTGCCTGTGTAGAAGAGGACAGTGTATTTTTCAGGCATGCTGTCAGAACCCTCAAGAGAGGGATTTTATCCAACCCACCCATAGAAACTTATGAGAGTTTAAAAAAAACCAGCAACAACAAGGGGATGCTGAAGGTTACCCAAAAAATGGCTTTGTGTCCACAGATTGAGTAATATGGTCTTATGCAAACCGTAAATTCTAATGGGATTGATCTACTGAAAACCTGTAGGGCTCCTGATTAGTTATAGATTGAGCAATTTGCAGCAAATCGATGCTTTAAATTGTCTGTCTTGTAAAATCATTATCTTGCTGCAGTATTTTACTGAAGTGGTGAAAAATACGTGACCCCCGTTATTCCATATCTATGTATGGTTGGGATTTAAACGGTGATTTTTACATGAGGAAAATGTTCCCTTTTGCTTTAGTGCATGCCAGCTGGAATTCCTGTCTGACTGTATTCTATCAAGCGTTATGCCCTATTTCTTCTGTACCCTTACCCATCTATGAATGGCATGAGAAAGTGACAGCATACACAAATGTCAGCTCTCTTTTGTGCTCTTCTTCTCCCTTACTTCTTCTTCCTGAAGCCATTAATGTTGAGAAAAGGTTTTATAAAGTAGAACAAGAAGAAATAAAACCAATCTGGAACCAAAAGAAGTTAAAACAGAAACTAAACTCCTAAGAGGGTGAGAGAGTATTTTAGTTTGTTATGGTAACACAGCATATTTTTCTTAAACACTGTTTAAAAAGGAAAAAAAAATAGCAAAGCTACGTACAATGTGTTGGTAAGTCTGTGTGGTGTGTTTTTTGTTCCCTTCCCTTAATTATCTTTGCATCTTCAAATGCTCTGCATACCAAATGACACAGCATTTGCTAGGATAACTGCTCTAACGCATACAAACCAGAATGGCATGGAAGTGAATGTTGCCTAGTGGCTTGTCTGTTTATTTTCCAAGTACGACTTTTTCTTTACAATTTCATCACTGGCTTTTGCTTTTGATTTTGTAACTTACTGTTTAAAATGAGCTGCTTCCTCTTCTCCCTCCCAAAGAAACCAGCAGACAGTCTTGCCACAACAGGACCTTCCTGAGCACCCATGGGTGGTAGTTGTTATTGCAAAGAGTAACCAATCGTGAGGGTATCCACCTCCCTCAATACGAAATTATGAGCAGCTCCTGAATGTCTTGGAATATAGAGAATATATTGTGGGTTTGGGGTTTTTTTTAATTCAGATTTCTGCATCTGGTAAGTTGCAGGGAAAGACTGACAGCAACTAGACCTTGTAGTTTAATAACTAGAAAGTAACTGAAAAGAACTCTAAATTACTTTTACAATTAGAGATCTGTTTTTGTTGTGCTAACAGCCATGTTCATACATGATTGTTCAGACTGGCAATAAAGTCTTACATGAGCAGTCCTCCTTTAGTTTTAATCTGGTCTCTCACACATCTTAAACTTACAAGAATATTTGCAGAATCAAGTCCACATAAATACAATTTATCTGCAGGAATAAAGATTGTAAAACTGGCCAGAATGTCTCTTTAAGAGAAGATTAATTTAAAAATTTCTTAATATCTTGAATGTAAATTTTATGTTAGATCATTTCCTAGCATCCTAATATTCTGAATCATTTCCTGGTGTTAATTTTTGTTAGTGACGTGAAGCAGGCTCTTCATGATGCTTGTGATCAGGACATATCAGCAAAGCTTTCTGCCCAGAAAAAAATAATAATAATTAAAAAAGAGATATTTAAAAGTTAATATCAGATTTTAAACTGGACTTAAATTATGTTTTAAGTTTCTGTTATTCCTGATTGTTGTTGTTGTTAGCACAGCAAGCAGGGCATCTTGAAAACAGCAATTTACAGCCTTTCATTAGTTTATCTGTTCATGTCTTCATCAGTGTGTTTCTCCATCGAATAGATTTTTATCTTTTTGTTACTGGAAGCAAATCTTGTCAGGTTGTGCTGGTACATTGCACAAGAATAAAACCAAGTGTTTTCTCTACTGTAAATAAACCTACCTTTTTAAACCTAAGCAAAGTAATACAGGCATGTGTGTTATCACTAAAATTGGGTTGGCAACAAGATATTCGGCAAACTAAATTGTATCACTGTACTTATTTTAGATTACTCATTGGAGTGCGTTACGCTGCGCTCTTCAGTCAAACAGAAAAATCCTTTTCACGAAGTGTTAATGAGAATGAGATACTTTTTCACAAAATTGACCTTAAAATTAGAATATTTGTGTAGAAGTTGACAGCAATGTCTTCGTGAGCCTCCTAGTAGAATAACCTAGGAATATCGCTTTTTCAGAAATAATTTTGACATTATTTTCTGCCTTCCATGAATTATATTCTGGTGTAAAATACTTGCTTAAAAGCAAACCAGAACACGTACATATATATACACAGACACTTTTTTTTTTCCTCTAATTGAAAGCCAAATATCTCTCCTTTCCTCTCTGAAGATAAAGTATTTATGCTGCAAACTGAAATGGTAACTGCAGTGCCTGGCTTTTTCAGATGTAATGTTTATCCTTAGCCCCGTTGCAAGGTTGCAATGAAGACACACAAATAAAGGTGGCTCTTTCACAGTAACAGTAAACAAGTGCATGCAAATAAACATCTCTGAAGAGGTACCCGTAACACATGAATCTGTAATGCTAGAGGTCTAAAATGACTTCACACCACTGAATGCCGTTAAATCTTTGAAATTCTAATCTAAGGCTTGGAGAAGCTGAAAACCTGCATATGCAAATTCAAGATAGTGATACACTGTGTTATCTGAATTAATGTAACTGCCTGAGTTGCTTTTTGTGATCAATAGCTCACATTTCTTCTTCACCTCTAGCCCCTCCACAGTTATTTTATCTTTGCAAGTAAACCTTAAAATGCAGTTGTTGAGGTTAGTCTCAATATTTACTGCATTGCCTGACATCAGTTCAAATTAGAAACAGACATGTATGGTTCATGACGTGTTTAATATTAATTAAGATAAAACATTATTATCTGTTCATTCAAACAGGCAATAGTATCCTGCGGTGGTGGCTCAACTGCTCTTTAAGTGGTGATGATCTCCCTCATCAGGGGCTAATGGGATGGTGCAGTTTATTTCCCTTTCTGGTGCACTGTGGTGCTGGGCTTGCTGTGAGCCTGAGCAAAACCCTTACTTCATTCGGGAAGAAAATAAGATTCAGAAAGGGTCAGAGGGTTGTAAAGTTCCTCTAGTGGGGCTGAAATCCACTGTCTCCATTGCAGGAGTTGTCCCTGCCTGACCCTAAACTGAAAATAATTCCATGGGACTTCAGTAGCTCCAGATTAAGGACTGGTCAGCTCGTAAATCAGCAGCCCATCCTTTACTTTGGCAAGTCCTTTTGAGCCCAGCCACTAAATTGTGTCTCAGCTGTCCCTTTCCCTGCCCTGTAACCTCAGAGTTGTTTCTAATGCTTTTACCTGGTGGGGATCCCAGCAGGCTGGGACACGATGCTTCCTCTTCTGGAACTTCTGGTGCCAGCACCACTCCTTTCATCTCCACCACCATCTGTGCTTAGCAGAAGAGGAGGATGAAAGACCTTACTGAGGTGACAGCAGGTAAAGGTCTGGTGGGTGGACTCGTGGAGCTGCTTCTGGTATCACGGAATTTACAATATAACACCAAAATTAAGGATGTTTGCAACATCATACGGATACTTAGGGAAAGGATTTTAAACTGTGAGGACATTTCTAGGACTGCAAAAAAATCTCCTCTTTCTTGCCTTAATTCACACATGCTGACTAGATTAAATATCTCTATACCAGTATATTCCCACCAGTTTTTGTATGCTTATTGAAAATCACAATAAAACCTCACAGCAAAATACAATTTCCATATAATCTCCAGGAACGTCCGTAGCAGTAGGCAAAGGAGCCAAGTGCTAAAAAGTCTTGGTGTCTGGCATCATGATTCACATCTTTCTTTTTTTTTTTGGCAAATTTACTTCATCTCTGTGGAGTGTAGCTGTTTCCTGGATGTTTATACTATTTCTGCACCGCTGTTAAAAAGCATCAATAGGTTAAGAGCAAGAGAAAACGGCTCATTTGACAGGAAAAAAAGGTGTCATAGCTTGTAAAAAGGCATTTTATAAATACTTAGACATTTATTTCATTATGAAATCCTAGTGTTGAAAAAACCAATGTCGTTAAAAATGTTTTTAGACAAATATTGACAGTCGTCAGATTAAGAAATAACAGTGATATCAGCAGAATTTTGAAAAAATACACACAAACTGCTACATTATATTGCATATGCATAATTGTATGCATACAAATTTTAAGTAATATTGTATATCTGTGCATATATATATATGTGCAAACTATATTGTTTGAATTGGAAATACACCTCTTGTTTTTCCAGTGTTTTCTATGAAGCTGCATGGATTCAGGCTCTGAAATG